ATTAGGGTCCTCTGTTAGGTCCCCAATATAATACGGCACCCTTATAAACGCAGAAACTCAGACCCTTAAAGTCTCGACCACGACACTGTGGCGCCGTATACTTAAAGGATCATGGGACTTAGTAAGTAGGGTTATAATTAGGGTAACTACACTTATAACCCCAATTAAGGGACTTATAACCTTACTTACTAAGTCCCATGATCCCCCAAGTACTGGCATGCCCGGTTCACCTCAAACTCAAGAGATAAGCCATAAAGGCTTGAACCCTAAAGCATAAGCCTTGAACCTTAACCCCCAAACCCCTAAATCCCTAAACCCCTAAACCCTAAACCCCTAAACCCCTAAAGCCTAAGCCCTAAACCCCTAACCCCAAACCCCTTAACCTTATGTAAACCCAAAACCCCCAGAGATGCAGGCGTCCTAGCTCCGTTCGAGATTTAGCCTTCAGCGTGGAGTGAGTACTTGGTTGGGCACATTGAAAGCCAGCCATAAGCCCTGAGGGTCCATGTGCTCAAACAGTTTAGAGCTTACAGTTTAAGGTTTACGGTAAAGGGTTACTATACTTTGGCCTTAAAGTAGTCCCTATATAGGTACTTTGGGGTCACAGTCTATTCTACTTGGGTACAAGGACCCTTTGGGAACATGAAGCATGCATTTCATCAACCACCAGTAGGCTTTGAATAGACCTTGGCGCCACCCTAAACCCTAAAACCCTGAACCCTAAACCCTGAACCCTAAACCCTAAACCTCTAAACCCTAAACCCTGAACCCAGGCAAGACTACACCTCGCCCCCACATCCCCAAGCCTTGCACCCATAGGCCCCATAGTAGTTCCTCTTTGGGATTACCTTATAGGGTTCTAAATATGAACCCCCAAAAGGAACTTCTATGGGGCCTATGGGTAGCCTCTATTGCCTTTCTTTTTGGCTTAATGAAAACGATCTTGTATTTAGGACCCTTTCAGCCTTACGTATAGCCTCTATTGTCTTTCTTTTTGGCTTAGTGAAAACAATCTTGTATTTAGGATCCTATCAGTAACCCCCCAAAAGAGGAAATGGAGTCTGTAGGTGCATGACCCAGAGGGTCCAAGTACCGAAATAGTCGAATAGTAGGGCATTCGGTCCCAAATACAACCTACTGAGTGGTGCAGTCTAAAACCTACTAGTTGGGTAATCTAAGGGCGCCGAAACCGAGGCTTTTGCCTGAACCCTAAACCTAAACCCCTAACCCTAGACCCTAAATCCTAAACTCCTAAACCCTAAACCCAATCCTGGACGCCGCAGATGGAACCCTGAATCCGAACCCTTAGCCCTCGACTCTGGGCCTTTCGCCCTACAACCCCCTGAGCCCTTAAACCCTAAGCTCTACAATCCCTGGGAACTTCTGTGGGGTTTAGGGGTTACCCATAGGCCCCTGGCTTATATTTAGGATCCTATTAGGGAATCATGGGGCCTATGGGTAGAGCCTGAAGACGTAGAGCCTTAAAAAACCACAAGCCGTAAGCCTTTGGGTCCATGGCTTTCTAGCCTAGCTCGGCTCCTGAAAGGGTTCCTTAAAGGGTTCTATAAGGATTCTATACGGGTTGGTATGGGACTTAGTAGGTAAGGTTATAAGTACATTATTTGGGGTTATATGTTATACGTAATTGCAGGTAAAGTTACACCGATACTAGTCCTATTTTACTAAACCCTAAACCCTAAACCCCCCTCAAGAAAAACGTATGATCCCTTATGCCTAAACCCTAAACCCCCTCAAGAAAAACGTATGATCCCTTATGTAGCCTAAACCCCCCAAGAAAAACGTATGATCCCTTATGTAGCCAGGAACGTCCGAAAATGGCGGCGCCTGGAGGACTTCGAACGACCGGAGATGCTAAGGTGGGCAGTCAGGATTAGGGTTTAGGGTTTAGGGTACAGTCAACTTGAATTTACGGGCTTGGGGTTTAGATTCAGGGTATTTGTGGACTAAGATCAGGCTTGATTCTTGACTTGCTTTTGTCTAGGTAGGCTGTTGTGACATTTTCTGTTGGATGTTATGCTTTAATTGACCAACCTACAGTTTTGTGAACTTGTCAAGATAAATTCAAGAGCTTAGGGCTGTTGTAAAATTGAGGGTGTAGGACCCCGTCCAGGATTGAGCTGCCACTGCTGCTCTCATGATGGTGGTGGTTGCCGTGGTGGTGATGGTGGTGGCGGTGGTAATGGTGGTGGCCTTGTCTTATTCTGAACACTTCATCGTCCCACGTTGTGTTGGCATGGTTTTGTTGCTATCCTTACTTGGACTTCCTGCGTTTAGGTGCTCCGCTTCAGGGCTTTGCGGCTTGAAGTCTCTGGTCTGTAGGTGCTGGGGTTGCTAAACCCTAAACCCTAATCCCTAAAGCCCTAAACCGCTGCAAGGGGGGAGCACGAGTTTCTGCATCAGCCATTCAGCCCTGACAGCTGCGAAGCTAGCAGCTGCCCCAGAGGATTATAGGGTTCCTTTAAGGGCGTTTTCGGATTCCCCTAAGGGGGCTTATAGGGTTCTTCTTAAGGGGTTTTTAGGGTTCTTTTTAAGGGGATCTATATAGTAGAAGCCCGAAAAGTTGGAAACCCAATAGCCTCAATCCTTAAGAGTAATGTGTAGGGAGTCCCAGGCACTAATTGGCCTTAATCCGGTTTCCAACTTTTTGGGTGTTTACTTTAGATCTTACTTTCCTTTACTTAGATGGCCAATGGGAGAACTTTGAACTCGTTGGCCTTATATATTAGGTCTATGCTAAAAGTTTGAACTTTGTTTGGGTCTGGTTCTTGAAGAAGAGAGCTTATTCACAAGGAGATGGTGGGGGACGCATGTTGCATCGTTTTTTCTACAGCGCCTCGTGCTGACGCCTCAGAGCCAACCCATGAAAGTGCTCAAAGCCCCCGAAAGCCTCTGCCAAGCCCCTGAATCATGAATTCAGACAGTGAACACACGGGTTAAACCCTCATATAGTAGAAGTCCAAACGTTGGAAACCCAATACCCTCAATCCTTAAGAGTAAAGTGTAGGGAATCCCAGGCACTATTTGTCCTTAATCCGGTTTCCAACTTTTTGGGGCTTACTACAAAACCAAAGTTGCAAGGGTGCCGCTCCACCTTATATCAACATGACAGTCGAACCCATGTTAATAGCACTACGCGTATAAAGCCCGAAGCACGCCGACTGTTCTAACCTCCCGAAAAGCAAAGTGCCTAACGCCCGAGCACCCCAAGTACCCCAGATTTTTCAATTGATCCGGGATATACACCCTAAATCACTAAGATCTTGAGAGCTTTAGGGTAGCCTAACCCTAAACCCTAAACCCCAAGTCCTAAAACCACCCGGCAGGGTACCTCTGGACTCGCTTTGCCTCCGGGTGTCTCTAATGGGCCTCGGCCACCCAGCAAAGTTCCTGGCAAAGGCCGCAGCCTTGGTGTCGGTATTCGCGCAAGAAATCTTCATTCTTTGGGTATAGGGTTTGGGGGTTTAGGGGTTAGGGTCATTTGCCCTAAACCCTAAACCCTAAAACGCTAAACCGAGGGTTTAGGGTTTATAAGGGTTTAGGGTCGGCTTGCAGAAATAATATGTACCCATAGGCCCCGTAGTAGTTCCTTTTTGCGGCTTATAATTTAGGATCCTATGAGGTAATCCCCAAAAGGAACTACTATGGGGCCCATGGGTCTATTTAGGGCTTATAGGGTTTGGGGTTTCGGGGGTTTAGGGGTGGGTTCCCAAAGGGGTGCAAGTACCTACATCATGTAAGGGCCTGAAGAATTACCTATACTATTTTGGGGGCTCCTTATTATAAGTATAGTATAATGGGACCCAAAACCCTATTCTAATTATAATAGTAGCCCTTATAGAGCCCTTTAAGGAGCCCGGAACCCCCCAAAACCCTATTCCAAGTCTTCATTCTGAGCTTAGTATGTCGATGATGTGATGATCATGATCATAAGAATCCTCCTCATGATTATTCTCTTTACTGTTAATATTGTTGGTCGTCGTCGTCGTCGTCGTCGTAGTAGTAGTAGTAATAGTAGTAGTAATAGTAGTAGTAGTAGTAGTAGTAGTAGTAGTAGTAGTAGTAGTAGTTTTGGCATCTTTACTTTATTGTCATTGTTATGATTAGTGCTACAAGTTAATATGACAATTTCACACGTGGCAGTTCACAGTCTCTGCAGCACCCTAAACCCTAAACCCTAAACCTGCAGCATGGTGCTGAGGAAATCTCTGTGCTCGCCGCGGGCTGCCGTAGGACGTTATGATGCAACCTCTTAGGAACCCAAAAAGGACATAAGCATCTGCACTTTATAGGGATATCCCTATCTTATGGGGCTTCATTATAAGGGGATTTATATGGCATATCCCGATCCTAATTTTTGCTTATGTGTTTTTTGGGGCCCTAGATGCAACCTCGTGTGGGTCCACTAGTAACCTTTACCCAATGGCCCAATGGGTTTCTGACCCGGCGGTAAGGGGAAAGGGGTCTTGAACCAAAGCGAAGCTGGGATTTAGGGTTTTGGACCCTAAACCCTCCACCGTAAACCCCACACCTATAAACCCAAAACCTCTAAACCCTAAACCCTAAACCTTATACAGTCATCTTTCAGCTTGGTCTCTGAGCCCATGCTCTACGAACGAGAAGCATGGAAACTGCAGGCAGCCACAGCTCCGAACCCAGACAGTTAGGGTCTGTGGGCTTCGGGTTTAATTGGTTTGGGGTGCACGGTCTAGCGTCGAGGAGTCCCATGCAGGAAGCAGCCTATCAGACCCGGAATCTCCCACATGTAGCACCTACTTCAGGCATGTTTACCCATAGGCCCCCATCGTAGTTCCTTCTTGTGGCTTATTTTTTAGGATCCTGTTAGGTAATCCCAAAAAGGAACTACTACGGGGCCTATGGGTATAGCAGACATGGGCTGATGGATTTTCTTTCCGCTGCCCCGAGTGACACGCAGCGGAGGCGCGACTCGGAGGAAGAGCAGGAGGCCGCAATTCAAAGAATCCAAGCCGCACAGCGTGGTGTGGCCATCCGCCGCGTGGCCGAAGCGCAGGATCAGGAGAGAGCGGCTTCGGAAGAGGAGCAGCAGAGAGTTTGGGCAGCCACAAAGATCCAATCACTACATCGCGGACGGACGTGCCGTCAGCAGCTTCCTACGAACAATGACATTGTGGTTGCAGCAGATGTCAACCATGAGGAAGAATCTGCAATTCGTCGGATCCAGGCAGCGCAGCGTGCCTGGGAAAGCAGGCATCAAGTTGTTAAGCAAGACATGTGGGCTGAAGGCCATCACCAGGAGCTCGCGCCGGAGGAGTCGTCCGACAGCCGAGATGTTGCAGCTCTCAAGATTCAAGCCTTGCAGCGGGGACGTTCCTGTCGCCAGCAGCTCGAAGCTGAGAGGGCAGTTGAAGAGAGTCGAGCTGCCGCAGTTCTCAAGATCCAATCTTTGCAACGTGGTCATGCATGTCGCCAGCAGTTAGCAGCTGCGAGAGCAGTTGAAGAGAGTCGAGCTGCTGCAGTTCTCAAGATCCAGTCTTTGCAACGCGGTCATGCTTGTCGCCGACAGCTCGCAGCTGAGAGGGCACTTCAAGAGAGCCGAGCTGCTGCAGCCTTGAAGATCCAATCCCTTCAGCGTGGCCGTTCCTGGGCTTTGGAGTACCATACTTTAATACTTTTCTGGGGACCTGTTCCTTAAAGGAACCATTATGAAATACAGTCTATACTTTTTTCTCCCTGGTTACTTCAAAGCCCAGAGCTTCATCATTCTGCAGGATGCCTCTGACGACGACGTGCAATAGGATTCATGAAGCCTACGACTTCAAGGAGGTCATAGGGTTTAGGGTTTAGGGTTTAGGGTTTAGGGGTTTAGGGGTTTAGGGGTTTCTCTGACGACGATGTGCAATAGGATTAATGAAGCTCTTCGACTTCAAGGAGGTTGGGCCTTCTCCGGGAACGTGGCCTGACAAACGCAGCACGCTATTGCGGGGACTTACTAAGCTTAGGCTTTAGGGTTTAGGGTTTAGGGTTTAGGGTTATAAGGAAGGTAACTATACTTACAGCCCCAAATCGGGGCACTTATAACCTGACGTACTAAGTCCCACGCCTAAAACCCCTACACCCCTAAACCCCAAGCCCCTAAACCCCAAACCTCTAAACCCTAAACCCCTAAACCCTAAAACCCCTTAACCCGAAAACCCCTGCACCCCTACACCCCTAAACCCTACATGCACCCCCACACCCCTAAACCCAAAAACCCTACACCCTACACCCCTGAACCCTCAAACTCTAAACCCCTAAACCCTAAACCCCTAAACCCTAAAGCCCCCAAACCCTAAACCCCTTACACCCCTACACCCCTAAACCCTAACACCCCTACACCACTAAACCCATAAACCCCTAAACCCCTGCACCCCTGCACCACTTAACCCCCTAAACCCTAAACCCCTAAACCCTACACCACTAAACCCTAAACCCTAAAGCCCTAAACCCTAAACCCTAAAACCCCTAAACCTTAAACCCTAAACCCCTAAAGCAAGAACCCTAAACCCTAAACCCTAAATAAACAATCCTAAACCCGAAACCCCTACAATAAACAATCCTAGAGCCCTAGAGGCCCCAAACCCTAAACCGCTAGACAAGTTTAGGGTTTAGGGTTTAGGGTTTAGGGTTTAGGGTTAAAGCAAGAACCCTGGACTTCCAAGGCACTCCTGGCCCGCCAGGGCCGAGGGAACGCCACGAAGGGCTCGCGCAAAGCCGCAGCCATGGGGGAGGAGGCGAGGCTTTTTGGACAGTTTAGGGTTTTTGGGGTTTGGGGGTTTTGGATTTGTTATTTTAGGGTTTCGGGTTTAGGGTTTTGGGTTTGGGCTTTCGGGCGTTTTATTTATCGAGTTTTGGGCTTTGCATTGTCGAGTTTTCGATTTTTTATTATATGTTTGTTGGAGCTTTATTGTTGGGCCTTTGGATTTTTGTATAGGGCTTCTGGACTTTCTTATAAGTTATATGGCTTGTTGGTTTTGTTATAACGTTTTTGGACTTTTATTCTAAGACTTTTGGATTCTAGTTATAGGCTTTTGGAATTTTGTTATAGGGCTTTGGAGGTGTGTTCCAACTGATTTAGATAAATTCAGAAAAGTTTTATAAGATTATTTTACCGGGCTTTTGGATAACTATCGAGTTTTTGGACTTTGCGGTTTATGGCCCTGATTGTCATAGAACTTCGTGTTTGCCTTTGTTCGGCTTGTGATACTTTCAGTATGAGGAACACTCTTTTAAGTGAGACCACCTGCAATATGCGATGATGACTCGCGCAGTATGGCTTCTTCCATCTTGCTGGTCCAGTTCTTCCACCCCTTTCTTAACGCCTATGCGTCGAAGAGTCCCTTCGAGCAACCCCTTGCAGCAGTAGAAGCAGCAATACCAGAACATGTCTCTAGTGCGGCTGACGATGACGAAGCCGTGGCCGGCTCTAGGACTCTAGCGTAGGGGCAGCAGAAAAGCAGCACACTGGCCGAGCAATCGAAGGTCAAAAGGTCCAAGGGTACTGTGCTTGCGCGTCCACAAGTTCAAGGCCTCTAGCCGGGGACTTGATTGAAGTCCTGAAACAAAACAACTCCCGATCTCCCAAACACCGAGCCTCAAGTAGAAACTACGAACCCAAAGGACCCAAAACTCTTGGAACCGAGGCCCCAGTCCTAAACCGTGAATCCGAGACCCAAGGATAGACCCCAGATTCCTCCTCAACCTCGTCTAGGGCTGTGGGTTTAGGGTAACCCCAAGCCCTATATAAACCCTGAACCTCAATCTTGTTGAAATGCACACACAAATTCCTAAACCCTAAACCCTAAACCCTAACCTCAACCTCCGAGCCAGCAGGAGACAGACCAAGATGGGGTCTCCGAGCGCGGCAGCGTGGCCAGCAGCACCGGCTCGTGGCGACGTGCGTTCATGCTCAATTCCTTTTAAGTTAGGGTTTAGGGTTTCCTTTTAAGTTCGTTCTGGTTTTGTAGAGGTACCTGTTCATGAGCATAAACATTGAGGGCCCTGAGTTGAGTTCAGAAGTATAGATGCACCTACATTCATTAGAAACTGATGTGGGGGTTTCCAAAAAATAGGGGACCCTGACATAGTACCCTAAATAGTAGTAGCATCCTTATTGTAAGGATCCCAAAATAAGGTACCCTAAACCCTAAACCCCTTATGTTCGGAAATTTGTGCTTGAACGGGAGAATCCGAGACTCCGTGGTAAGATGTTGGGGCTCCCGATCAAGACGGTTTAGGGTTTAAGGGTTTTAGGCTTTAGGGTTTAGGGCTTTAGGGTATAGGGTTTAGGGCCTATTAGGGTTTAGGGTTAACACGAAACCCCCTCCTGGTTCTTAGTAGGGAGTGGGGAACTGGATCCCTAGGATCTGATAGGTCCTTGC